GGACATCCTCGCCGGGAACGCTAATCGTCAACAACAAAACCCTAATCGGAGATCCGACCAACTACAGACGATGCAGATACGGATCCAGAAAACAGTCGACCATAGACATAAACGGAAACCAGGGAAAACCCCCAGCCGAGAAGAAGAAAGCTACGGGAAAAAGACGACTCACCAAGCCCTGGATCCAGGACCGTAGGTCTTGGGGTGAGAGTTCCAGACGTTTTGATGACCCATGGTTAGTTTTCTTGCTGCTGCGCCGCTGTGCGTGCTAACTTGGAGCTGGGTGAGAAGAGAAACTAACAAAACCCTAATCCGCGGCAGTGTTTGTTTCTTTTATATAGTGACTGAGGCGGTTTGTTGTGTGGGGAGGTAGGGATGGCAACAAAACTCGAACCCACGGGTACCCATCCGACCCAACCCGGTCAACGCGGGTAAAATTCGTGTTAACGGGTTTTGGGTCGGGTTTGGGTTTAAACCCGTTCACTATTCACCGGGTTGGGTTTGGGTTTAGGTAAACCCGGCCCGTGGGTACCCGCCCACCCATATAATTAATTTTTTCGGTATATTTAATATTCTAAACAACTAATCTTATTTATGTTTGTGGAGACATGTGACAACCTTTTAGGGTTGAGGAGAAGAGAGCTTACTTCAGTTTCATTGATTTGCAGCTTATATAGCTGATAGTTTGGGTTACAGACAGTTTGGGGAAGAAGACAAGATTTGTGTCTTAAGCAAGTACAATACCAAAATGGGAAGTAACAGAAATGAAAAGATCAGTGACTAAGTGGGAATATGCCAGAAACGACATCACTCCCGCTCCTATCTTTGCTTCTTGGAACGACACCGTCGAGGGCAGCGGGACTTCTCTGTTTGCTTGTTGGAACGACACCGTTGGGAGCAACGGTCGACTCTGCTTCCTCTGTTTGAATTGGTTGCCGCGAAGAACCACTGTTCTTCCCTGATAACATGTCTAATTTTTTCTTTTTAATTGTGTAGAATGAAGTTGATGTTATGGAGTGGAGAGTAAAGAAACTTAATTGAAAGGAAGAAGCTTTCAATTAAACATGTTATTTATGGATAATTTGTGATTTGCTTCAATTTTCTTGAGTTTTCCAGATTGGTGTTGAACAATTTGTATAGTTAATTTGTGATTTGCTTGAATTTTCTAGAATGGTGTTTTATATATGGATAATTTGTATCGAGAGATTGATATTTGACTTTAATTTTGATAAGAACTTGTAATTGTAAATTTTTTACGACAAACTGTGGGTACCCATGAACCCGCGGATACCCAACGGGTTGGGTTTGAGTTTTTCAAACCCAGTGGGTTTTACCCCGGGTTTTTTTCAAAGATAAACCCATGGGTTTGGGTTTGACAAAACCCGACCCAACCCGACCCATTGCCATCCCTATGGGGAGGAATATGATCGTACGGCCGCAAATAGAGTCTGAGACTCTGAGTTTTGTCAGACTCATAGTTAGAGCCGTAGAGATCAATTCGTTAATAAACGAATTGAGTTACTAATAATGTTGAGTTAAACTTACGGTTATAAGTATAGGCCTTTGCTACGGTGACATGCACTTTTCGGTCGACCTCATATAGGATCAGGTCGACCTAATCTGTTGTTTCAGTGTAAAAACAGTTCATGGTACCTACTTTGGATATTCATATCATACAATTGGCTGGATAGAAATTGAAGACTAATGACTTGTTTTGAAACTGGAGTGTCCCTCTACATATTGAAGTGATTGAGAGCTCGATAGGAAGTCCAGAAGACCATTTTCGAACCTCATCAAAAGGCTATGCCAAAACTGGGAAACTGCCTAGAAATGGCTAAGTCTGAAAACGTGTTTGTGAAGCCTATTTTGGAGCTCAATTTGAGAAGTATGATTGCGAGTCGAGTCCAGGAGCCTCTACCACATTAAATTAGGTATGTTTTTATACAAAGGAAAGTCATTTAATGAAAGAATGAATATCTTTAAGGCTTCAAACAAAAGGCTCGAAGTTGCTACGAAGGCTGTTCTTCTGGCAGCTTGCTTGTGCTCGAAGTCTGCCAGAAAAACAGCCTTCGTAGCAACTTTGACCCTTTTGTTTGAAGACTTACAAATATCCAATATTTCATCCAATGCCTTGAATTTGTATAAAAACATACCTAATTTAATGTGGTAGAGGCTCCTGGACTCGAGTCGCAATCATGCTTCTCAAATTGAGCTCCAAAATAGGCTTCACAAACACGTTTCCAGACTTAGCCATTTCTAGGCAGTTTCCCAGTTTTTGCATAGCCTTTTGATGAGGTTCAAAAATGGTCTTCTGGACTTCCTATCGAGCTCTCAATCACTTCAATATGTAGAGGTACACTCCAGTTTCAAAACAAGTCATTAGTCTTCAATTTCCATCTAGCCAATTGTATGATATGAATATCCAAAGTAGGTACCATGAACTGTTTTTACACTGAAACAACATATTAGGTCGACCTGATCCTATATGAGGTCGACTGAATCCTAAATGAGGTCGACCAGATCCTATATGAGGTCGACCGAATTCTAAATGAGGTCGACCTAATCCTAACTGAGGTCGACCGGAAAGTGCAAGTCAACGTGACATGCATGTCACCGTAGGCACACCATAAATATAATATACCCCTCTATTATAGCTCAAGATAGGGTGAGTAACCTTATGGTGAGTAACAATGAGTAACCAAATCTGTACCATTCTTTTAAGTGACTGCAGATTTAAGGGTTGAGAATTAAAGGAATTTATTTTCCCTAGTTTTCTTAATTGGATCATATCTTCTTCATTCTAACTCGGATTTCAATTTTTTTTGCACAGATGGAACGAGTTCGTTGTGCTCTACAAAATGATATCAATTTTCAATATTTTTTGAGAAAAAATTTTCATCCCTCTCGTTACCAACTCCATACCATATGGTATCTCCTTCGTTGTTTAGTCATTTTCGGAAATTTTTGCACAAAATGAACGATTTAATCATGATCTATTGGATTTCAAAATTTTATGGGGAAAATTTTTCAAATCTCTCTTTACCAACTCCATACCATACTATACCACCCTGGTATGAGGTGTTATTTTTCATACCATATGGTATGCTGTTATTTAATACCATATGGTATTGACTGGTATTAAATAACAACATATGGTATTGACTGGTATTTTCATACCATATGGTATGCTGTTATTTAATACCAGCCAATATCATATGGTATAGTCAATACCATATGGTATAGACTGGTAATAACTGGAAAAATTTTTTTGTTCCAAAAAATATCAAAGTGGATATCATTTTGAAGAGCACAATTAATCTGATCTAACTGTGCAAAAAAAAAATTAAATTCCGAGTTAAAACGAGTGAGAAATCGTCCGTTAAAGATTAAGGGAAAGAAAATTAATGATTTTTCCAGGAGAGAGAAGGAGGCGCTGATGTGGCAGATTCTTATTGGGTTATGCATGGGGTTACTCACCGGATCTGCTCCCCTCTATTATGACGTTTTATAAAACATGCATTTTTACTATTTGTTACATCAAACATGTCCTTGTATTTTGACAAAATTATCAAACATGCCATTCTGCTAAAATTTCCATAGAAAAAATCTTCGATCATGGTTGAACCGAGATTTAGATGACCCGACATCGACAAATGGGAGGAAAAATATCAGTTCTGTCCCCCTTTTTATTTCTCTGGAACTCTTCAAAGTGAAATTATTAGTAATATTTTAGACATTTGTGTCGCCCAAACCAAAGTTCGGTGTTGGTTAACGGCTTTTGGATGAAAATTTTAACAAAAGTGCATGTTTGATAATTTTTACAAAGTATAGGGGCATGTTTGATGTTAAAAATAGTAAAGAGCATGTTTGATAAAACGTCATTGTAGAGCGCCATATTATACCTATAACCCTTAAACTTAAATTGAATTTGAGTTTGAATTTGGCTTGTTAACTAATACATTAGATTGTGTTTGTCTCGAACTTGAATTATCAATAAAATCAAGTTACACGAGCTCAGCTCATTTATTCTAAATAATTGAACGGTTAAATTAAATGCTAAAAAAGTTTATAAAATTAAGTATCCTAATATTGGTATGTCATGGATGATAGTTAATCTTTCATCATATCATGTCTATAGACTCTACAATTGCAGTTCCAGGATGTAATGATCTTTTATACATATCAATATGATTATCTTTAGTAAAAAAAGTTTATAGACTCTATATAGTTAGTTGATATTATATTATTTAGCTCATAAATAATTTAATTTCTTTATGAATATTAAGCGTAATTTTTTACTTACCCATATCATGTTCTTTTATAATAAAATATCTAAATCGGTACTTTTAAATTATAAACAAGACATATTTGCTAAAATACTCAAAGTCTTAAATATCATATGAGGAGAGATAAGTAATTTAACAAACATATAAATTATCAACCAACCAACTCATACTATATAGATGGATTAGATCATAAGCTGGTAGTCGAGTTGGCTCGCTAGTCACAAACTCACAATGTCAAAACAAGCCAACTCAAGAGTTGAACTCAACAAGCCATCGAATCGAACTGACTTGCGAGTTTCGCAAACAGAACACGATTGAACTGAAACTCAAATCCTTAGTCCTTAATAAACAAGTCAAATTTCTAACAAAATGTTTCCAAACTGAATGTCAAGTCCAGCAGCTCATAAACACCACTTATTTACTGCCATAATCTCAGGCCTCAGCATGACAGAATCGGTCTGCGTGTTTTTCTTTCCAAATGGGCTTATGGAGCCATCCCACCGTTGTTCTACGAAGGTGTTTTTGGTTAGTTAAACTTAAACGCAATCAACCGGCTGCTTTGCACAGGTCAATTTATTGATCAATGCAAAAGTTAAGTAGCTCAAACACCAGAATGACGGTAATTCTTTGGATGGTCCCCCAATTTTCTGGACCATGAATCCACGGCAGTGGAATTTAGTTCGTTAGTGAGGTCAGAAGCTAAGACCATAAATGGTGCAAGGAAAACCGATTGAGCATATATCCTGGTGGAGCTCCCTGGAAGTAGAAACCAGCCTCATACTTGATTACATATCGCTGAAAACTAATAATAGCAAGTCCCTGAAGCTAGAAAAATCAAATTACCATTTTTAATACAGACAACGGTCTTCTTTTGGTTGTTCTGGAAAACAAACACATTCTTATTCTTGGATAACTAATGAAAGCGTATAAAGAAACAATTTACCACAACTGCTACTACTATTCATCTCAAGCCATATGAGACACAGAACCCGCAAAATTCAGACACAGCCCTTGAATCCGACTGAAAACGGGCACAGAAGCCGACTCAAGACTCATTTGTGTCGCTCTGTCGAAGTCAGAGTTAAAAAATCTAGTCACTTGCTTTCTCCAAGCTTGCCATATATGTCAAATAGATCGTCCACACGTATGCAAACGAGCTGTTCACCAATGGCTGCATCCCAATCACACCACAACAGTTACATTAGAAGTAAGAACACAGAACTGCAGAGGAGATATGGATGGGGAAAGGCAATAAATTGTACCTGTAAATGCACTGGGATGACTTTGAAGGTCAAGAAATCACACATGGGCCAGAATATGAGACCACCCAACAAAGTTGGCAGCAGGTCTCGTTTCAATCGAGCAATGATCTCGTCCCCATTTTCACCTGGTGATAAAGTTTGCAAAAAAGCCTATCAACCGAAACTGGAAGGTGCATCCATGTTGCAGGTGAACATAAGCAAGAAGAGGAAGGATATTTCTACCTTGTAGAGCAGCGTTGTAGGAAAAGAAAAGGGAAGCATTGACAGGTCCGAATCCGGCCTGGCCCAGGAAGATTTTCTTCAAGGTAGACATCACATCACGATTTGGCAGGATCCTTGACATGTAATTGAACCAGAGATGCTGTGCTGGCCCCAAGAACATGAACCCGTACCCTGCCATGCGCAATGTTCTGACATAATCTAAGGTTCCTGAAAATGACGACGCAATCATCTGAAACCAAAAGGGTTTCACTATTTAGCCAGGAATAGAAAAACCCAGACCTCAACTGTACTGTAAATTCAAAGGGTTCAACGTTCTGGCGGAAATGTGAGAAAGGAAACGATACCCAGTCACAAAAGGCTAAAGGGGGGAAAATCCATGAAAGCTAGGGATTAAAATTACCTGGGCGGTGGCATCGGCGGCGCCGTAAATTAGCGACGTCGTGATGGCTTTAGTGAGCATCGGGCGGGATTCGAGCCTATCCAGGTACCAACCGATGAACCCAGTTCGGGATTTCGAGGCCGACGGAGGAGTCGACGACGACGTCGAGAACGGACGGGAAGAAGAGTGAGACGGCGGCGCGACTTTCTTCGCCGGAGAGAAATGGGGGAGCCTCGAATCAGTCCCCTTGGTCCTGTAAAACTGCTGCTGAGCGCCACCGCCGGCTCCTCCGCCGGCGCAATTGGAGAATCGCCACGATTGATTGCCCAAGCAAGCTTCCTTTACCGAGAAGTCTCCGTGGAGGAGGCGTTTCCGGAGAGCCCTCACGGCGGCGCCGCTCATCTTTTCTTCACGGTTGGACTGAGAATCCGCAGAGCCGCTCTCGCCGTTGAGATCTAGTTAAAGTTTGAATAATTTGGAAATCTCCCAATTCTCGGTTTCTGTTTGGACTCTGATTTAAAGAAAACGAAATTTTCGGAGGTGGCGCGCAGTGCTGTCCAGTGGAACTATGCAACGTGTAACTCCTTCCTGGAAATCGTGTTCCGGATTTTTTGACTGGTTCTGGGCTTTGACTCGATGAGAACTGTGATTCTGTGAAGGTCGGCAAGAGCACGCTCACTTGTAAATCCAACATGGGCCTTTGATTGGGCTTGCAACTGGCCCTTTATTATGTGAGAGTTTAAACTTTAAAGTAGGGATACTGGGCTTTGATTATTCTGGCCCATCAGTGGCCTCTATAAATAGAGTGATCAAAACAAAGGTTCTGATTTCTGAATACACGAAATTGGAAGCCTTCCTCGTCGCGTTCTTGACAGAACTGAAATTCAGTCACTGATTTCCTCTGCGTTTGGCGGAAATTGTTGTTGTTCTCTCTAGATTTTCCGCCGGCGCCGTCAAATTTTTTTTTTTAGCGGGGAGTGAGCTTAGAGCGAGTGTTGGCTCGTGAATACAATAGTAGAGGCCTTTCATGGACCCTTCTATAATGAAGCTCCTCGAGGAAGACGAGGTGAGGGTTCTGCTTCCCGTTTTTCGTCTGTTTGGTTGTGGGGGTTTGTGAGCCTCAATTTGGTAATCAACGAAGTTCTGAAGTTTGCTTGGTGGTTTGTCGGCAGGATGAGACGATGCATTCGGGTGCGGACGTCGAGGCTTTCCAGGCAGCTCTCAATCGGGATATTGAAGGTCACGCTTCCAATTCTAAGAACGAAGCTCATAACACGGGTAATTACCAGTTGAAAATCATAGTTTGATAACTTATTCTGGAATTGAGGTTTTGGATTCTTGAGCTGTTGAATGTTGAGATATATTGGGGATAGTTTTCTCGGGTGGATTGAAGGGTTTTGCTTACTAGTTTTCTGTTGGCTGCATTCAGAGTTTTTGAATCATTGTTGCTAGTTTTGGTGGAATTTTGGTTGAGGATTTGGGGAAAGTGAGTGGGGTGGGATAGTAAGTGGCCTAGCTATGGCCTTCTCTGTCCAGTCTAGCTTCAGTTTAGCTCTTTATGATGCCTGGACTGAAAATGTGGCAGTTCTTCCAAGCGAAAGCAACCAAGGTTCCTCTCAGAAATCTCAAAGTTGGCCATCAATGGGACAAGATCAAGTTCCGTCTGGCTCAAGCAACCAGGGGCCACAAAATGTATCACAACAACAACAGTTATCAGATCAACTGCAACAACAGCAATCACCTATGATGATAGATCAACAGTCATCTGTAGTCGAGAAACAGCAACAGCTTAATGATGTGCCCCAGGGACAAAATCCCCTTGCTTTGCATAAGAACCAACCCCCAGATGAGCATCAACAAGTGAAGGTGGAACATGTGCCCGTCCAAGCTCCCCAGACAAGTGGGGGGCCAATTTCTGATAAAAATCCCGCTCCAGCTGCTGAGCCGGGCAGATTACAGAACCGCACTGGTGAATCCCAATCCGTAAGGATGCCCCCACGGCCTACAGCCATGGAACAGGCTGTTAACTCAAGGTATCAAGGTAAGCACATCCCATTTGTGCTGTTGTTGCCTGCTTTAAAACCCCATCTTGATAAAGACAGGGAGATGCAGCTTCAGACTATATTCAATAAACTAAAGGTGGGTATCAGTCTTGAATGTCTTTTCTCGCTCTTTGTTTCTTGTACTTTTCTTTTAAGCTTTCTGCCACCTTTTTTCTGTTAGAAAAATGAAATCCCGAAAGATCAGTTCGTCAGGCTTATGAGGAATATTGTTGGGGATCAAGTGATAAAGTTGGCACTAACCCAGTGGCAACATCAGGTATGAAAAATATAATGACATTCAGTACATGTCTCGTTGGAATTCAGATAACGCCACTTTTCTCCGCCTGAATTGCAGCATGGAACCAACCAATCCCAGTCACAGGCCCAAGCTTTAGCCCGTCAACCAAATGATAGGATGCCTGTCAGTCCCTGTTCTTCTCAACTTAGTAGTTCCAATCCATCTGCACTTCATCAAAAGGGATCAAGTTCTTCCACCAACCCAACTTACAGTGTTCATTCATCAGTCAAACTGCAGTCTGACCATTCAACTCGTGCTCTTGCTGGAACCGGTACTCCGAATTCCCGACAGGTGGATTCCCGTGCAGTCAACTTCAGTCAAATGCCTTCGTCCATTGTCAATCCAGATAGAGATGGCACTTCAATTTCAACACAAGGGCACAATAAGCAGCAGCAACAACAACAACATCTACAATTCCCTCAGACATCTTTCCCTGTGAATGGGGGAGCTGGAAGCAATTATCCCACATATTCCGCTTCAGGAGGAACTTCTTTGAAGCCACAGCCTTCAGAGCAACAAACGAGGAAGATTCCGCATCATCAAAGTGCAGGTAACTCTCAAGTGGGAACACACACCCAGGCAATGGGCACCCTCAACGTGCCAAAATTGGAGAGGCAAAGTCCGGCTGTTGAGTCCAATAGAGTGCAGCGTGGTCCTATATCCCCTTATCCAAGCAAGCCAACATTGCAGCAAAATTCAGTCCCTTGCCAGACATCAACGAATAAGGACCAAAATCCCACCCCTTTTTCACCAATGAATTCTGTGAAACCGGAAATAGTTGAGCAGGCTGGTGAGCAACCACAGAAGTCCCAGTTCAGTAACAATCAGGAGTCCTCTGGTGGTGCTGAACAAAGAAACACAACTATGAAAAATTCCAAGAATGCCTCAGACAAGCAGCACTCAAGTGTTCGGTCCTCGTCAGCCTCTGACGCAGTGCCACCAAATGCAGTGTCCCGATCTGTCACAACCCAGACTGACCACAGTAACCAGGTAGTGTTTCCATCTATACAAGATTTCCTCAATAAGGAACACGTGACTCTTTCCTTGAGATTCTGAGGCCAGTAAATGCTCGGATTATACATATACTGAGGAATGCGAGAATGACATTCTGCCTTGTATATTCATTAACAGGGTCTCTCCAGGATTCCTGCTGTAACTTCACCTGCTACTATGAATTCAAGAACACCTCCAAAGAAACCCTCCGTCGGGCAGAAAAAGCCACTTGAAGCAGTTGGATCTTCCCCGGCTCCTGCAAGGTAAATATTCAAGTTTGTGATGAGGCATCATAATCGTTCCACCAAAGCTTCCTATTCCTAATTGGATTCTAATCCTATTTTCGGCTTTTGTTTGTTTACCTCTGGAATTTTATTTAATTCAAAGGTTTATCTCTTTCCTATTTTGTTGAGATTTTAGTTCTCCCTATGAAAAGGAATTTCCCCCGCAAGAAATACGGCTCGTTTCCGATACTTTATTCTCAGTATTGAAATATTATGGAGGGGAGTTTCTCTAGAGTTCTTGGAATACGAAACTTGCGTTCTTGAGGCCAAACAGCATTGGTCCTTTACTGCGTTTCTCCCTGCGTCAGTTTGCTACTACCGTTTATGTTGTAGTTTGTATTTGCAGCACACATTCATGTATTCTTCAATCCTAAAACGTTTTATGGATCAGTGTACCCAAAATAGTGGCTTACTTGGTTGAGTAACCACCTCTCTGTAATTTCTTATACAGTAAGAAGCAGAAGGTTTCTGGGGCTCTTTCAGATAAAAGCATTGACCAACTGAATGATGTCACTGCTGTCAGTGGAGTTAATATTCAGGTAAACATATTCCTCGATCATTAGGCTTGACCAATGAGTAACGAGTAATATCAGATTACTAAAGAACCTGAACCCCCCACTCTGAGAGAAGGGGAAAGAACTGATCTTGCAATGTTCCTTGCGTATTTGTTTACAGGAAGAGGAAGAACAGTTGTTTTCCACAAACAAGGAGGACAGTCGAGTCTCCGAAGCATCCAGAAGAGTTGTACAAGAAGAAGAGGAGAGGCTGCTTTTGCAGAAAACTCCTCTTCAGAAAAAAGTGGCGGAGATCAGTTAAATCTTCTTTTCATTAACTTGTGCTTTGTTTATGGAGATAAATAGTGTCAATTACGCAATGTTGATTTAATTTTACTTTGCATGTCCATGCAGTGACCAAGTGTGGTCTGAAGAATGCTAGCAATGATGTAGAGAAATGCTTGTCCTTGGTGAGAAGCGAAATATTTTATCCTGTCTTCACTTTAAAAATATTAGACACCGCCTAACAGAGGTTTTTCTAGAGCGTGGAGGAGAGAATGCGGAGTTTGATAAATAACATGATCAGAATGTCGAAACAGGTCAGTTTCTCGTAATCTTTGCTAATTTATACTTGTTCTCCCATTCCGATGTTTGTTATTATTGCTTCGAAATTTCATTGGTGTTGTGATTTTGCTGCACTTTTTCTCATTCGGATTGCATCCCTGCAGCGGATTGATTTAGAGAAGTCCAGTCACAGAACTGTGGTTACCTCTGATGTTCGGCAACAACTCGTGGCAATGAACCAGAAAGCTAAGGATGAATGGGATAGAAAGCTGGCTGAAGCAGAAAAGCTCCGGCGAGTAAATGAAGTAGGTCTTCCTACATTTCTTGTGTTGTGGTATTCTCAAACCGGTTCTACTGCAACTTAGGGCGTGTGCTTGTTTGGTCTAAAAACAGTATGGAACTTAAAGAAATTTTGAGTTAAAAGCTCAATGAAGCACACTTCTTAACTCTAATATTTTAGAACTACTTTCATCATTAGTCTCACAAATCATTGCAAGTAATAGCCTCCTCAATCAAAGAAATTTTATTTCCGACTTTTTCCCTTCGAGATAGCTGCAATGTATTCTCAGAGCTATACCCCTTTGAGTTACGCACACAATGTTGCATTTTCTTGCTTGATATGTGGGTGCAGCCTGACTCTGATGATGAATCCGAAGACAAGGAAAAGGAAGATGGGAGAGGAAAAGCACCCAAGGTAACTCAGGACCTTTTCACCAATCTTTCAAAGTTTCATTCAGTAAACTCTGAAATATACAACTGAAACACAGTATTCCAATATTTACTGAAACTGCACAGTTGAGCAAAGAGGAGGATGACAAATTGAGAACGACAGCTGCAAATATGGCAGCCAGGGCTGCTGTTGGGGGAGACGACTTGATGTCGAAGTGGCAGCTCATGTCGCAAGCCCGGCAGAAACGAGAAGGTGGTCAAGATGGGAGCCGCAAGGCCCAGTCATTCTCTGGAAGGAATGGCAGTCAAGATGGAACGACAAAGCGCTTTGGTTCAGGATCCTGTATGTTCGAGGAAAAAAAATGTTTTTGTTGCGTACCATAATGTTGAATTCATGTGACTATCCTTTTTTATGCTCTGACTGGTTTTTGTTCTTTTTTCAACCCTTTTTCGATCTGTTTCAGTTGGTGGTAGGAAATTCGGGACAAGCCAGGTTGCAGGAGCACAATTTAGGGAGGTCCGGAGTCTAACCATCAAGGACGTGATTGCAGTGATGGAACGAGAGGCCCAGCTGTCGAAGTCGACTCTGATCTATAAGCTGTACGAAAGAATCCGGTCCGATCCGCCACCTGGATGATAGGTTCTGCTGCAGATCCGTTCCTGCCGCCATGGATTCAGTCGGGGGGTTAATTTGGTTGCAGAATGCAGTTAGTTGCTTGTACTTAAAAGAGTAGTTGTTTTGTTTGCCGTTCGCCCTTGAACACACTGCTCTACTGAAGCTAGTTTAGATGGTAAACTCCCGGTAAGAGTACCAAGAGTTGCTCTACTGTACAGATGCTGTGCTGATGCGTACCAAGAGTTGAGTATTATGCTCCAAGGCGTTTTCTGGTTTGCCTAAAACCGGATCTTACGTTAAATACAGCTCTTTTTTGAATTATATCTCAATTTCGGAACAGGAACTTCACGATTCATTAGATGGTTGTCGTCATATACATATCCTTCTTTCATATTTCATGGGTAGACAAATTGATCACAGATATAATACATAAGCTAAGCTGCTTCTCTCTCTTTCTTCGTGTCTTTGGAGTTGCAGGTTTATTGTAGCTATTCCACCATTCTTACTTGGTGGAGAGATGTGGGAAACAAGTGAAGACATCAGACTTAGGATGCTTGGCCTCGGCGTGCTCCCGACACTTGGCCTCCGACGTCGTGCATATGAACGTCTGCATGCACACTTTGCACTGTATATTCCCCCGCCGGCCACCGCCACAGACGCCGTCGCGGTAGAAACAGAGAAGCAAAACGTATTAATGACAGCAAAAAAGAAAAGAGGTATATAACAATATAACAGTAACAGAGCCAAGGTACCTGGATGGTCATGGCCTTCTTGTTGGACTGAAGCTGGCTTCCTTCACCCCACATATACAGAGAGACGCATGTCAATGAATTTGGCTGCAAACTGAACTAGCTAGCTAGATAATGAAGCAAGAGTTGTTTGCAACCTACCCTTATTAGCGGCCTTTTGGAGCTTCTCCATGTTTCTCTCCCGAGCTGTTCTGGATTTCTGCCCATTCCCTCCTCCCATTATTTCCTCCTCTGATGAAGATGAACGTTGATCTTCTTCTCCTTTGGTTGCTTGATATAGAGGCCAGGCAGGGGAAGACGCGGTTTCCGTATTTATATAGACAAGAAAATGGAGGGAGAGGCACTAAGGAAAAGGGCAAAAGGAGGGAAAAGATGCAAAACAAAGTGGAAGCCAGTTGAGTTGGGATGGGCTCTACTGCTTGACTATTACTGTCATGTGTCAAAGAGCAAAGGCCAACCAACTCACCAGCTAGCCCAACCGACCATTTATTATGACTCCACGACTAATACTTCTAGTACGCGTTGACTCTGCGTTGGAGGTAGTATAAGAAAAGTTAGCGCGTATAGTGTTTTTTGTCGGAACTGTAGCTTAATTGTGATTCAACTGTTTTGCATTTCTAAAAACTATTTACTGGTTTAAACTCCGATGGAAAGCTTTTCCGATCGTACCACCGATACAATAAAATTTCACAAATACCGAATTTAACCCATACCCAGTGTCGACATGTGGGTGAAAGGGGATGTATATGACAGGAAACAGAGAATGATGGCATAGTAACATACATAGCCCCTGAATTCTACATGGCTTTGTTCCCTTTCACACGTATAACTAAACCATGAAATGCAGTTGGATATATAATCATGATCACGAGTCTGTCCGGTTGACTTCATCAACTTGCGTTTTCTGATAACTGATAAACTTGGAGTTTGGGGCCACAACAGAAGACATCACTTCAGTGGTTTAGATTATTTACCTTAACTCCCACCATATTCACCATCACTCCACGAATAGCTCTGCGCCTCTGCCCCAGTTGTGTCATTTTCAATTATAAAAATCTGTGTTGGAAGTGATAGATTCAATTTTTTTGTGCTAACATAACTTAAGTTTTTCACAAAAATTTTGAGCGATAGCGTGTTGACCGATCCACCTTCTTAATACTTGAGTCCACTTCACGTACTCTTTCTACGGCTGAAGTGTCTAAAACAAGGTAATTGAGATGACAACTCTATGCATGTTTGTATCACATTTACATGTATTCCAACCAAATGATAAGTGTCGTTGATTGTAGACGTTGATTCCCTCTGTGATGACGTTAATCTCCTATGTCATAATTTTGGAATAACACCATTGCAATTCACATCTAAACGAACATTTGATGTGAATTGTGACATCTCATCTAGCGTCTACCTGTACTGACCAAACCTGTATCTGAATATAAACATCAAACTTGTATATGAATATAAACAACGAATTAAGATATGTGGCTCCACCCATTTAGCGCACATATATGAGACTAAATATTATCCTAACCTTAACACCATGCTAATCACGAGTTGTAGTTGGTAACTTCGGAATCGTAGTCCTACAACTGAAAAAAAACAACAACTAAAATTGCAAAAAAATAATTAGTACGAATATGATTGTACCCACTAAAACTCATGGTGAGCATGAATTTACCAAGATTAGCAAGCTAAACCATTGGGGTTAATTGCATGGTTGGTCACTGAGATTACAAAAAACGTTCACGTTTGGTCACTGGAAATATTTAAATCCAATCTTGGTCACTCAAATTATTTAAATGGTTAAAGTTTGGTCACTCTCCGTCAATTTCCGTTAACTCTAGCTTACATGGCAGTCAACTTTCATAGTTGACCGTTAAATATGTGACGTGACAATTAAAAAATTATTAAAAATAAAGAAAATAATCCTTTACATTTTCCACCTCATTATTACATTAATTAAAAACAAAAAAATATATTTTGGCTGAAATAGAAAAAAAGGGTTTCGTTCTCAGGAGATTAGGAAAGCAGGGGTTTTTTGTTCTCTTTTTTACCTGGTTTTTTAGGGTTTCGTTCTATGGAGCAGGGAGTTGTAATCGGCTTTGAGGCGGTCGAAATTGGCGCGGAGGGAGTCAAAATCTCTCTCCAGCTGCTTGTTCTTGAACCGAGCCCGGCGATTCTGGAACCAAATGGCGACCTGGCGAGGCTGCAAGCCGAGCTCCTGGGCAAGCTGGACTTTTCTCTCCGGTTCCAGCTTGTTCTCCATCTCGAAGCTCCTTTCCAGGGACTGAACTTGACTCATGGTCAGCCGCCGTTTCTTCCCTCTAGGGCTGGAACCCAGTTCGAAATCCTCATCGCAGAGCTCTTCTTTCACCAGAGAGTGGAAGAGACATCATCCGTCCATGGCGTCTCCGCACCCAACATTGTCGAAATCCACCATATGTCTTTCCCCTGAGAATAGAAAAAGGCATTCCGTTAAGAGAATACAGAGGATGAAACAGTAAAAAAGGGTTTCGGAAGTGAAAAGGGAAAATGTGAAATTACCGTGGAAATCGACGGAAGGAGGAGGTATCCAGAGAGGATCGCAGGAGAGGAGGCCAAAACGGACGAAACATCCAGGTCCGAGCTGTACTGCTCCCCCTCGAAGTACTTCACGACGTAGTCGGCGCACAACTTCGGCGGTTCGGTCCACGCGACGGAGTTGTTGGCTTTCCACTGACAGCCTCCAGCTGTTGCAGTAAAGCTGGTCGTCGCGACGGCGGTTGTGGTAGTGCGCCCTGCAGTCGCCAGGGATTCGGATTAGTGGCCGGAAGGCGGCGGCGGCAGGGCCCAGTACGAGTAGGAGGTAGGGATGGCAATGGGTCGGGTTGGGTCGAGTTTTGCCAAACCCAAACTCAAACCCATGAGTTTATCTTTGAAAAAAACCCGGGGTAAAACCCACTGGGTTTGAAAAACTCAAATCCAACCCAACCCGTTGGGTATCCGCGGGTTCATGGGTACCCACGGGTTTTGTCGTAAAAAATTTACAATTACAAGTTTTTATCAAAATTAAAGTCAAATATCAATCTCTCAATATAAATTATCCATATATAAAACACCATTCTAGAAAATTCAAGCAAATCACAAATTAACTATACAAATTGTTCAACACCAATCTAGAAAACTCAAAAAAATTGAAGCAAATCACAAATTTTCCATAAATAACATGTTTAATTGAAAGCTTCTTCCTTTCAATTAAGTTTCTTCACTCTCCGCTCCATAACATCAACTTCATTCTACACAATTAAAAAGAAAAAATTAGACATGTCTCCACAAACATAAATAAGATTAGTTATTTAGAATATTAAATACACCAAAACAATTAATTATATGGGTGGGCGGGTACCCACGGGCCGGGTTTACCTAAACCCAAACCCAACCCAACCCGTTGAATAGTGAACGGGTTTAAACTCAAACCCGACCCAAAACCCGTCAACACGGATTTTACCCGCGTTGACCGGGTTGGGTCGGGTGGGTACCCATAGGTTCGGGTTTTGTTGCCATCCCTAGTAGGAGGAGAATGAATGTCGCCGGAATCGGCGAGTGCTGGATCGACATTGGGATTTTGAAATGGGCGAAACGGCGGGCGTAAGGGATGAAACAAATTTTTTCTTCTTCTTTCTATAAGTGGACAAAATATATATTTTTTAATTAGTGTAATAATGAGGTGGAAAATATAAAAGATTATTTTTTTATTTTTAATAATTTTTTAATTGCCACATCACATATTTAACGGTCAACTATGAAAGTTGACTGCCACGTAAGCTAGAGTTAACGGAAATGGGCGGAGAGTGACCAAACTTGAACCATTTAAATAATTTGAGTGACCAAGATTGGATTTAAATATTTCCAATGACCAAACGTGAACGTTTTTTGTAATCTCAGTGACCAACCATGTAATTAACCCTAAACCATTGAATATGGTCAAATATTTGTCAGCTGATTTAACTCCTAGCCCAAAGAGGAAGAAAGAATCCAACATCCAACGCCAACTCAGAAGTGATTAGATGCCGATGCAATCTTGACCTATCTCTAATCTTAATCTATAATAATTAATAATTGGTTAGGATATCCCATTATGGGGTTGCCTTTGTTCCTCAATTATGAACCATTTTTAATCCCACCCTCTTGCTTCACACTTTCTGTCTTTATTGCTTCAATAATGTTGTAGTAAAATAGAAGCTTGTTTTGTATATATCCTCCACCGAAGCCTAGCCTACCACGGCGGATCCAGGACATAAGAGAGCACTGGACCGTATTTAAATAGAATATTAGATATCATAAACAAAAATATATAATAATATAGTTTTCATTACAATGCCAATTGTATAAGAAGGTATTTTAATTTAGCAAATTCATCAATAATATAATCTACATCCATACTGATAATATACTCTTTTTCAAAGAAAATAGCTAAGTAATCAACGAGAAATTCTTCGCTCATTTTGTTGCACAAATCAATGTTCATGTTCCATTGCTGAAAATATTCTCTTCATGGTAGTTGTTGAAACGGCTAGGTCAACACTAGACAAATCAACCGACAAATCAATTTGTATTATGTGTTCATCCCTGTTTCCTCCAGCTTCTCTAATAATTTTGCAAGAGAAGAAGCTTCATCCTCACACATTCTCCAAAGAATGCATCTCATAGCCTTCAAAGTCTCGAGGCTAAACTCTTGAGCAAGTTTGTAAATATTTTCTTCATCAAAACACCAGAAAGAACGGTTAGAATATAATGCCCCACTCAATTGAGGCAATCTAAATGATGACTCAACAAGTCTATAAATATTTTCTTAATCAAAAGAATGAAAAGAAAACCAGCTCGACGGGCTGGGAGGAGAAATCCATTTTGGATCTGCTCGTCTCCTTGTTCTTGTTTTGTTTTGTGGGGATTGGAAATTTTTTTGAATTTTGAAAGGAAGGGTGTGCTTTAGTTTAGAGTTTTTTTTAATGAAACTTTACACTTTTAGGTTTTCATGTCCTTTTTCAAATAAAATCATTGGGACTATAGAAAATTTAGTATAAATTTAGAGTAATGGTTTGGATATGTTCATCTGAACCATTTTCCTATTTACACAAAATCCTATTATCAAATAAAACTAGACAAAATTTTAAATAGCACTGGACCAAATACCTAAATCGAAAATTTTATAAGCACTAAACTAACTCTGGATCCGGAGGAGGGCTGGGCCGGGGCCTGGGTTGGCCCAGCCCTGGATCCGCCACTGTAGCCTACCCACCACCCACCCGAATAAGGACGATTAGGAGATTTACAGTGTTATAAACGCGCTGCTACGGATCGGGAAATCGCCGGAATCGACAAAGCAAGAATACGAAAGCGAGAATCGAAAACACGACACACGATTTACGTGGTTCACTAACACGATGTGTGTTAGCTACGTCCACGGGCGAGAGAGAGCCGATTTCACTATATCAAGAGATTACAGATTACAGAGGAGTATGAGAAGTATTTATAGTACTTCTCCATTTGGGTCTAAACCTAATCCAATATGACAAAGGAAACGGTTGATAGTCCGATTCAAGTCATATCAACATACAGACCCATGATATACTCACATCAATCACTCGCCAAAAATGATTTGAGTTATTTGCAGGTGGATTAGTGTTAAACCGTGGATTAACCACTCACTTGCGCTAATATTCTGTACCATTTTACGTGATGCTATGGTGATAGTGACTCGTAATCCAAACTGGACTTGGCTGGATAATGGATATAGAATGAACAAAACATGCATTAAGAGGCCAACAAAAGGCCCAATCATCAAATCAATCCAGTAGGGCTGACCGGATCGTTGAATTTTTCAAGCCCACTTTTTTTGCCATGGAGGCCCATCATCGAACCTGCTAATCTACTTTCGAACTTCATTCAGTCGTTTATATAGCTGAACAAATCACCACCGCTTGGAGAGTTGTTGGAGTAGCAGCCACCAGCCAATGGCCACTACTTAAACGTTGCATAATTCAGCCACAACCAATCTCCACGTTTCTTTGTTCGTGTCAGATAATCTTGAAACAACTTATAAGGAAGCTCTTTTTTTACTGCAAGTTACAAGCTAAAACCTAGTTAGACCATGCCAAATTGTTGTCCTACTCGACCAAACTACCTATGAGAATTGTATAGCAAAATTTTATGAAGAATGCAAGTTATTATAATTAATTGATTGTTGACATGATATAAGAGTATCTGATTGTTCATAGGTGTTGTCTTCGAATTTAAAAGGTTTTCGATATTAACGGTTGATATATGCATTAGGTATAGCATATATGTACAAACTTTAAACCAGAGCTTCTGGTTACATATCTGACTGCGAGGGGGTAAAATTGCGAACCTTGCAATTCCGTTCCGGAGACCGCAAGCACGAACATCCAAGAAAGCTTCGTGTGATCGTGGTACAATTAAGTTTTTTGTCTCGTTGCACAATTAACTTTCTCCGCTTGGTTAATTGTGGCAGTTTGTTTAGCGGTGGATTTATTGTGATAATCATCACAATTCTGCCGCACCCACTAGGAAGCAAGCAGCTGAAGCTTTTGTTGGATTTTGGGTTGGCAGTGGTCATTATTTGCTTTTTGGTGGGGATTTGGATTTGGTCTCGCTTAAGGTTGTCAACCCGCGGGTTGACCCGACTCGGTCGAGCTAGTGGGTCAAGGATTAATGGGTCAACCATTTTAGCCCGAAAATATGGAAAAAGTCATTATATTGTACCTATCCTCATAAATTATATCAAATCTTATCTAACATATGAGTTATAATATTACACCAAAATAACATATCGTATATAGATCCAACATATAGTGAAAATTCACACACACTTATATAACATAAATATTCAAATGTTCAACTTAGCATTCCAAAAATTGAGCTAGGCGAAAAGAAAAATCGGAAAATAGGCGCATTTCGCAAACCAATGAAAAAAATGACACAATTTGACCTCCAACCCGGTACCTTGTAGCGGTCGGCCCGGCGGGTGCGTGCGGCCCGTTTTTCTCACCGGGTCAGGGTCAAAGTGGGTCGACCCACGGGTCAACCCGCGGGTTGACAACCTTGCTCTCGCTTGTTTGGTGAGAAGTTTCGTTGGAGTTTGTTTGATAGTAAGAATGACTGCTATCAGTATGAAGATTGAGAAGTTTACCGGAAGAAACAGTTTCAGTTTGTGGCAGATCAAGATGCAAGCACTGTTGAAACAACAATGTTTGTGGGCTCCGTTGTCTGGAAAATCGAAGAAGGAAAGTATAGATGAAGAAG